GCCTTTCATTCCTCTCAGATGCTTTCTTTCTACCTGTGGAACTTGTAGTTTATTGCACATTTTAGTAATGAATCTTGCCGTTTTGATGTTATTCAGAAAGTTTTTCTTCAAGTCTCATTCTTCTTTTTAACTTTCCTAAAGACAAACACATATATCCTAAATATGCATTCCAATCAATTCTTTACAAATAGAAATAAAACATGTAACCAAATGACAATTTGACTTGGTTTCAATCACGAATTTACTCTAAGGACACATTTATCTCGAGGATTTCAGATATATAAATTCTCAAATATGCATTTCTACTCATTAGCTAAGTGAACCTATATATCTGAGCCAAGTTGTTGAACAGTGACATAAATCAGGGTGTCTGGTTTATGTATGAGGAATTATTGGAATATCAGGACCAAGGGGACAGGAAGATTTACCCTGGCAGAAATTAACTTTGTAGTAAAATGAGCTATATAAATTCATGATTATAGGCAATGATAAAATAAATAACATTTATATTTGACTGTTGCCAATGTGAGAAACTAAACTTAAAAGGAAACTGAGGTATATTATGGAAATCATAGTTTGTATATAGATTGATTCAAATTCATTCCAGTCTCCTTAGTCCAAATTCAACTGTACAGGTTTTGGCTAATTTTAAACTTTCATATAAGAAAAATAATAATATGGTTGTCACCTAAATAAATATAATGTATTACAATCATTGGCTTTCCTGATTGCAGGTGCAGTAACTGGTAAAAATAAAATAGCAGAGATAGAAAAATGGAAAATTTGAAAATGTGTGTAATATTCAAAAATAAGAAACTATTGATCAAAATGTACTGTAGAACTTGTCAAGGTGTTGGTGCCCTCTCTATGTGGAATAGATCATATTGTATTTATTTTGACAAAAAGTAGGACCAAAATTTCAAGACAGCAAATTAAAATGTTAGTCATGGGATTTCACAGACATTATATTGCATATTAAATCTGAGCTAATCAATACTTGGATATAACCCATAGTGCATCCAGCCTTAAATTGAGCGCCTTGAATGGCTCCAGCAGTAAGACTCACTTAGGATGCCATTTCTGCAAAGCACTGGCTTTCCAAACAGTATTAACCTAAGTCTCAGCTCTGATTTTGTGTATTTTAGCATTCTGATTTTGTATAACCACAGTATCTATCTTTTAGAAAAGTACATTGAAGCATACCTTAATAAAGACTAATGATGAAAATAGTCGAATAAAATTGCACTCGAAAAAAATACATTGCAAGGAAATGCCGAAGAGCTCTCAAAAGTAAGGCGAACATATAACTAAGATGATCCTAGAACACTTTCAGTTTATGCCTGATGACTTTGTCGCTTTTATGAAAAATATTTCTCCCCCTCCCCTTTCTCACTCACCCCATCCCCTTTCTCACTCTCCCACTCCCCCTCCCCTTCTTCCCCCTCCCGCTCCTCCCCCTCCTTCTCTTCCCCCTCTGTGTGTGTGAGTGTGTGTGTGTGAGTGTGCACGTGTGCATGTGCGCACATGTGTGTATGCGCGCGCCCATGGGTACACAAACTAGGACTGGGAGGACTGGGGCTTGAACTCAGGGACTTGCTTGCATTTTTCACTCATGGGTGATACTCTACGTGAGGCATGCCTTCAGTATGGCTTTTTAGTTGGAGATATGAGTCTTACAGATTTATCTTCCTGGTTTGGCTTTAAACTGTGATCTTCAGATTTTGTTCTCTTAAATAGTTAAGATCATAGGCATAAGCCAATAAAGTCCATCAATTCTTGTCCAAAAAATACTCTCCCTGGTTTGGAGCATAAATATTATGGTTACCTTGCTAAGAATAAAATATCCGTAAGTGTAACCCTGACAGCCTGAGCAGAGCTATCTCTTTCTTCCAAAGGCATATCAAAGTATTCTGATCAGTGAAATTGGAAAGAATTGAGATGTACTTTAATTACAATTCATAAAGTGGAATGGTCCGGACTCAAACCTGTCTAAATTACTAAATTTTCCAGCTTCAACTTTATGAGTTTCTTATCTAAAGTGTACAGCTACTCCATACATGGACTGCATTTTCTGTTCTCTGAACAAAAGTCTACTTGTTTGTTATTGACACTCGAGATTTTTATAATATTGATATGCTATTCTCCTCTCAGATCATGAGGCTTGATGTCTGAGGATCCCAAAACCTTCCATATGAAAGTATGGAACTTTCTCATGGGAGATATCTATCATAACAGTTCATACTTGTTTTCTCCTTTTCGATGGGATGACCTTAGATTTTAAATATGATGAATGCAGGTGTTGTGATGGGATGCCACTAAACAGGAGAGGATTTCAAAGCGCCTTGGTGACATGGCATTTAAAAGAGGGCTTTTGTGTTTATAAGCCATAGCCAAGGGATTCCTTGGCAACCAGCAGGGAGCGGGCGGTAGAGTTGCTCTGATGAAGTGAACAGGGGTTTGGATGTGAGGAAAAAGAAATTTTGTGTCAAATCTGTTTCTTTCAACTCTTCGTTACCCACACAGTACCCAATGCAACACAAAAAACAAAAAGGGCTTTTTATACTTTAACAGCATCAGTAAGGGGGGCGAATATGTAATAAAGCACTAATCTGACATCTTTTTAAAAAGATAGCATGTGCACCACTATTTACGGAGTTAAACTGTTAATACTCTAAAAGAAAACGCACATAGACTCCCTTAACCAGATACTTTTCAGCCTATTGAGTCTTAATGACTCTCAAGCATAATTAGGACTCAGACATTGTGACTCCAGTCTAGTTCTATGTTTATAAGCTGTAAGTGCATTCCTGACCCAGGAGGCTGTATTTATATAAAATTACACTCTCAAGCATAATGACAAAAATTGATCAGCATTTCTACTGGATTTCTTACTGACCAAATCAATGTGAAATTTATGCTATGTAAAATATAACCTTAGTGTATTCATTATAACCTACTTTAATTAAAAGCAGTTCAAATTATGTCTATCACTAAGGTATGTTTTAGATAAAGGTGATGTACTTATTTGTTAAATTTAAGTGCACTGAGATCTTTAAATGATAGTACTATAATTCTACATCTGTAAATTTTTTATGTGAATAAATGTTTCTATTTTGAATAGATTCACAGAAAAAATGTGCTGATAAGAAAGTTCCTACTACCTTTCTATTATTAACTATTTGCATTTTAGTATGTTTATCATAAGTAATGGACACATTTTATAATGTTAGTGTTAACTAGTAGCCTTTCTCCATTCAAACTCCTTGGTTTTTCCTTTTATTCTTTTATTCTTTCAAGGAATCATTTGGAATACTGTATTACATTAGCTATCATGTCTTAAATTGTGGTTTTCAAGCTTTCTTTCTTTAATGATCTTAACAACTTGACAGATTACAGGTGAGGCATCCTTGTTAGATATCCCCAATTTGAAATTTATCTGTTGTTTGTTTTGTTTTGTTTTGTTCTTTTCCATGAGAAGAGTTTTCCATGAGAGAGTTGAGAAGAAAGTTATAGAAATATAGTACAGGCTTTCACACTTACTACATATTGTGTGTGAGTTATTGTTGCTGATGGCAAGTCTGATTTATTTTAAGATGCATATTTACATAAACTTCAAAAATAGAAATTGCAAGAAATTTTCAATCCATTTAAAAAATGTAAATAACTCCTTTGAATAAAATATTGCAAAAGTTAGTTAAAAAGTGCATTTTACAATGCTGTGGACAGTTCATGGTGCTGCAGGAACATTTTAAAATTGAATAGTACTTCACTGAGTGAAGGGATAAAGAAATTATGGCACATAAACAATGTGTTTAACCATAACAAGAAAGAAACTGTGACTTTGGCAATGAAATGGATGAAACTTGGGATCAAAATGTTAAATGAAATAAGCCATCTTCACAAAAGCAAGTATCATATGTTTTCTCCCTTTTCTGGAAACTGGGACGTTGGGGAAGTGAAGAATAAAACAAATGAAATGAAAGGGAATTTATTAGGGATGTGGAAGGGAAAAAGGAAAGGGAGAAGTAGATAACAGAGTAAAAAAGGAGGTAAATAAAATGAAAGCACATTATGTATATATATTTATACCTGTGGAAATGTAACAACGTACTTTCTTCAATATATTTCTGTTTGTGTATATGCATTGTACAAAAAGGTCTCAACATGATATTGCATACAAGCGTCCAGGAATTGGATGAACTTCCAATTGGATGAACTTGGTTTTGTTTTCCCTTACCCCAGCCTCCTATTTTCCCATAGGTTTCAGTAGGTTGCTTTGTGTCCATGGGTACAATATGTTTGATATTGCTTACTCCCCATCATTCTTTCTCCCCTTAAAACAGTTTGTTATTTACAGGTAGATGTGACTATATATTCATATATATGGAGGCACACATATATATGCATATATGTATGCACATATACACATATGATACTTTTTTTACTTTATTTTTTGAAGTTCAAGCCCCAGGATCAGCATACACACACACACACACACACACACACACACAAACACACATACACACACACACACACACACACACACTCATGTTAAGATAAACATTGAGTTTCATTTAACCAAAGTTGAATACCAATGAAAGCTGAAAAGAATTAGAAAGATTTCCTCAAGAGGTTGTCATTCTTTTTACTGTAGAGAATGTATTAAGTTCAATTTCAAAAAATAAATATTGCTAGGACACCTAGAAAAGAAGTCTTGCATATTTTCTGGTACACAGTATCTACTTAACAATTTGATAATAATCCTATGAAAACGTTTTGTAAAGTTGATGCTGTTGTTTTGTTCTTGCTTACAATGCTAGCGCTGAAGATCAAACCCAGAGCCTTCTTGTGGCCACCAAGCTACAAATGAGCCTCTCCTTCAGGTTTAATATGCCTTCACTGTCAGCCAACCATTTAAGATTTTATTTCCTTATTTCCATGCAGGCCTCTTATGTAAGGTGCTGAAGGGGAAATAAAATATACAGGATGAAAAGATGGCAATGCTGCCTCCCCCAGGACCTCAGAGCTTCGTCCGCTTCACCAAGCAGTCTCTTGCCCTCATTGAACAACGCATTGCTGAAGAAAGAGCAAAGGAACCCAAAGAAGAAAAGAAAGATGACGAGGAAGAAGCCCCAAAGCCTAGCAGTGACTTGGAAGCTGGCAAGCAGCTGCCGTTCATCTATGGAGACATTCCTCCTGGAATGGTGTCGCTGCCCCTGGAAGACCTGGACCCATACTACGCAAACAAAAAGGTGACTTGTGGTCATTTCCGCTGAAATACTTCTGAACAAAAACCATGTGAAGTTTGGATAAGAGGATTAGCAAATCACAGTATTGCTATGGTTCTAAATACATAAGAAGACTGTTCAGAATATATAGATATAGAATATATTTTCCCTGAAAACTGAATGTAACATTGGCAAACTAACTCGACTTTTCTTGTTTCCTAAAATGTTCAATATAGTTTTGATTATTAGTATATGGCACCTTGATCCCCAAGTTCCATAACTGTTATCTGTTTTTAATTCTTTTTATTGCCTTTAGGTAGTTGTACAAAGGAGTTTCAACACATGTCATTTTATGAGTTCAGTGCTTCTAGATCAATGTTCCAGCCCCTGTCAAAATTCCCCCCCCTCATTCCCCATCAAGTAATCAATTTTTTCCTTATAATTAAGTCGGTGTATATGTAAAATTAAAGACTTTCATATTTAATACAAATGCAAAAGACTCATTTAAACCTTCAAATATGAAACTCATTCTATTTGTGTGTATTTGTGTGTGTGTGTGTGTGTGTGTGTGGTTGTGCGCACGCACACGCATGTGTGCATGTGTTGTATGCTGACCTGGGGCTTGAACTCAAGCAAGTTCTAGGTCTGGGTACTGTTTCAAAGGTTTGTTGCTCAAGAGTAGCACTCCACCAGTTGAGCCACTGCTCCACTTCCTGCTTTATGGTGATTAATTGGAGATAGTACTCTCTTGCTTTTTTTTTTTTTTGTCAGTTGTGGGGCTTGAACTCAGGGCCCTGGGAGCTGTCCCTAAGCTTCTTTGTGCTCAAGACTAATACTCTATCACTTGAGACACAGTGCCACTTCCAGTTTTTGAGTGGTTAATTGGAGATAAGAGTCTCATGGGGACTTTTCTGCCTGGGCTGGCTTCAAACTGCGGTCCTCGGATCTCAGCCTTTTGAGTAATTAAAATTATAGGCATGAGCTACTAGCTCCTGGCGAAACTTACTTCTTTATTTTATTTTTTAAGTTATAGCTACATAGTAACTTGATTTTGCCTTTCATAGTATGCTTTTCAATGCTACTTAAGACTGAATTATTTCTTGTTTATAACATATTTGCTACTAAACACTTGTAGAAAGAAAGAATAAATAACTTTTAAAAAGCAGTTTGTCAAGATTTAATGAAAAAACAGTAGTACTCAAGGACTGGGTGTCAATTTTCAAACTAACTTCCAATGTCAAAGTAGATCTTACTTCAAATTATGTCTGACATAACTGGTATAGTGACTGGGTGTCAATTTTCAAACTAACTTCCAATGTCAAAGTAGATCTTACTTCAAATTATGTCTGACATAACTGGTATAGTGAGAGAGAATAGGAAGACGAAAGATTTTAAAAGAATAAATTCTGGCTTGCTTTCTTGAGTGAACATAGCGAGGCTCACACATATATATATAAAATGGTTTGATCACATTCAACATCAGACACACTCTCCCTTCCCCCTCTTCCCTCCCACAGCTTTTCCCCCAAACAGTTTCCTTTTGTCAATCATGCCCTTTATAATAATAATATTGCTATTATTATTTATTAGATATAGATTCTACATTTGAGCAAAACTGCAATATTTGTCTTTTTGAACTTGGCTTATCTTGCTCCACATGATGATTGTATATTGGTTGGAAAAGATCTTCTAGCTCTGGCACTCATTTAAATTATGAGAATCATTTAAAAAACTCACTTGCATCATAATTCTTAGCAAATAATACAATTCTCAAGCTGTTGTGATAAAACTCATATATATACATATACACACACATACATATACATATATATCTTTTCAGTTTGCTTACAGAATAATGAAAAATCAAATGAATTTGAGTAGTTACAGGTTATTGTTGCCTTTGGGGAAATATGATACAGATGTAACAGTATTTTCAAGTTCTGAGATATTTACTATAGGAAGCTAAATTCTTACTTTATTGAGAAGAAATGAATGTGGGGTTCACTGGGCAAACATACATTGATAGCAGTGTCAATGGCTATAGAAACCCATTGCTAAGTCCTGTGTCACTGAGGCTTTAATACTGCACCACAATGCGAAACTTAAACTGCTGATGTTGAGGTGCAAGATTGAGATGGTGGATTCTCAGTTTCATCTTGTTTTCTTTTTCCTCCCACAGACTTTTATAGTATTGAACAAAGGGAAGGCAATCTTCCGCTTCAATGCCACACCTGCTTTGTATATGCTGTCTCCCTTCAACCCTCTAAGAAGAATATCTATTAAGATTTTAGTACATTCATATCCTTTCTGACATGCTAACTGAAATGATGTTTTAGGATGTATGATTTAGGATTGCTACCATGATTGTATATAAACAGGAGTCATTTTTTTCTCTTTGAAAAACCCTGATTTTAGCTTGTCAATTCCAATATAAACTGCTGTGCATTACAGAGATTTAAGTACCATTAATAATATTTTAGGTTGTATTGTTTTTGTTTTAAGAGAGACAAAAGTAATCTCTAAACTCTTTTAGGTTATTTTTCTAAGGGAAAGTTTTGGTCTTTCCTTGAGTATCACCATCGTATATCCAATTCCTTCTTGTACTCTCACGTGGTCATGTTCCTTGATTCTGCCACTCTGTTCAGCATGCTTATCATGTGCACTATTCTGACCAACTGCATTTTTATGACCATGAGTAACCCTTTGGAATGGACCAAAAATGTAGAGTAAGTGAATACCAGTACATTATAATACAGTTTGAGTATAAGCTGAATCTATAAATATTGTGGTATGTATCATCCCATGTCAAATATTTCCTTTTCTTTTAGATTTTTTGTTTGTTTGTTTTATGATTCTGTGGTAATAACTCACTGGCAATAAGTTAATCAGCTGCTTCAATGTCTTCTAGAAGAACAAACTCATCAGGGCCCTATTCTTCAGCACTTTACCTAGCCCTTGTTCTTGGGTATGTTTTTGATGGGAGCAATCTAGGAATTTTCTAAGTAGATTCATTGCCTGTGTTCTTTAGTTATTTAAAGTATCCCTATTGTCTGGGACT